TGAGTAAGAGATCGTGATATACAACTTATACGTAGTAGTTCGTAAATAGACTCCAAATGGCAATCAGTGTTCAGCAGGCTGAAGACGCGGTTAGCTTCAACGGGCCTAGCAAGCTTCCATGGCGGACAGTTGCACCGGTGTACGTCAAACGAACTGAAATGTGCTCTAACTTTCCTGAAGATTTCATCAGCCGCCCTGCAACGTAGCCAAATGCATTTTGGACAGCAACGCGACAAACAAGCGACGTCAGAAGGCATTGAATGAGGCTGGACTGTTTGCAAGTTCACAACATCTCATTATGAATGGACGGATGAAATGCGGCTCTGTGTAAAACATGTCGATCGTTCCAGCTTGCTTCACCATGCGCCAATAAATCCGCATTTGCTTCATTTCATATTTTCTTGCACACAATTAACCAAGTATATTGGTTTACTGAATCCTGAGCATCTTCATTTGCATGCTTTCACGCACAAATGTCCATTGCGACCGCGTTAAAGACGTCTTCAGACTCGTTGAGCAGGTTAAAATCGCATTCGTCTTGCCTACCCTTTATGAGTACACATCGTTTGAGTATTACTCTGGCCTACTTATGCAGAACTGGATGAACTGGACGTCCTTAAAGCGTGCTTCTGCTAAGCCGAGATCCTCAACAAACCATCGTTGCTCTGCAGTAAACAACAGCTAATGATTCATTTACGATGACGAGAAAATATAGCCAACGCGTTGCATGGAAAACAGTCCCAATAAATCTCACTAACCTCTGGCGCTGGATTAGAACACTATATGGTGGCTCCATGCATGGAACAATAGAGCACATCCGTGATACCCGTTTCAGTTCGAGTCATTCAGTATGAAGATTCATTTCGTATCCTTCATTTTTAAGTTTCCGAATTTGAGCGTAATCGTCTTATTCGTGAATTATTTTGAGCATGCCAATTTTTCTAAGATTTATCAGCGATATTGTCCTACTGAATTTTGTCATTTATTAATGAACAATCTCTCCACACATTATCTGACAATAATCAGTTTACTATCAGCTTCCTGCGTGTTGCTGTTGCTTCTAGGATATTCGCTTGGAACCAGCCTATCTTATCAGACTTTAAATACAGTGAAACTTTGAACATGTATCCGCAACCGTTTGAAACGGAACATCAACTCCTGTTAGAGCCTTTATAATGGAACGCACCCTGGACTTTTCGGCAACATTGTCATGTGGATGCATTTCATCCTTTCAGAGAATCTGACACCTGATATCTAAAGCACGACGCAAGTGTTCATGAACAGATTTACCGATGATTTTGGTACCGAGAGGTTTCGAAGTTGCCATGCCTAAGAGTGACATGTCTCATCAGTCGCTGCGTATATGGTCTACATGCTCGTTCCAGCTAATTATGCTGCCAATCTTGACAGCTATATATCTAATGGCTGAGCCAGGTGTGGAGGTTGCAACACCAGGAACCAGTTCAACCGTGGTCAGATCAAGCAAGTCACTTTTCCTGGGGCCTTTCATGGCGAATGGATACTCGGCTGATTTCTCCGCGTTTACGATTAGGTCGACGTTCGTTGCTGAGGTTGTCAATGCCTCGAAATATTTGCCATAGTAAATCCTGCAAGTCTTTGAGGTAATAGCACTGACAAAGACAGTATCACCTGCGTATTTCAAGCAGTGAACATTCTGGCTGATTCATGGTTCGTGAATACGACGTGAAGAGATCAGCGGAATGGAGAGCACATCTTCCCTACGTTGTTTGGACAGATGAGAGAGTAGCAGCGACTAAGAACAATAAACGGTCTTCGATCTGATGGGGAATTTGCCAACTTTAGAACAGGAGCACCGATGTTGAGTTGTGAAGCACGGTGGGCACTCTTGGCAGCGGCAACGTGTAAAAAGTGGAGGAAAAGTAAAGCCAGTTTGCTTCACCGCGCCCCCTCTTTGATCCAAGCGATGCTCAGTGAAATACACTAGGCGAGATATGAAGTCAACTGTCAACTGGCTTCGTTTACACCTGTATGCCAACCGCTGCGGGTTTGAAAAATCGGTTGCAATGACATCAACATTTTCTCGGTGTTTCAAGATAACTGTCGAAACTCTAATAACTGTCGAAAGTCCATTGGACTCCAAACAAGACTACATCATCATTACGTCGTAGTTTCATGACAAAATTCCTCTCAACGACGATGCCGGACTGAAACGTCGAAAATGCACAGTGTAAAGAAGAACAATTTATTTCTTACTTTACACCGACACTGTAGTAGTGTAAAATAGATGGAGGTTTCACCGCAGTACTGTAATGTTCCCTTGTTTCTAGTTGCATAGCGAGATTATTCAAGCAGGCCACGGCAACATGATGGCTGCAGTGCGTAGGACGCGAGACGGTGTCTGTTGCTGAGGTAGGACAAGGGAATGTTCAATTCCGAATACGTTAGTTACTGTGTCAACGAAAAGGCGACCATGCCTTTCTTCAGGATCCTACTTTTGGACAGCGACGGCGGCTGTTCATATCTGCACCTGACGACCTCTCGCGAGATATCCGTTCAATCGCCGTCTACCATGTGCAAAGGCGACAGTGTTAGCGAATGCTTTGCTTCGAACAGAGCCGACATAGTGCAAGTGTAAACAGCGTGCATGGCGTCGAAAGTGTCATCTCTTTTGGCACGTGGCAATCGCCTGATGGGCGATGCGGTTCGGACATTCGCACTCGAACCGACTGTGACTCAGATTTCTAAACGACTGTGTTTCTCTAAAGAGTCTCAAGATAAGTTCTCAACGTTTTGTTTCCTCAATGATCTCCCTTTCATTTTAGTGTGCGGTAGTCCATGTGCGCGACTGCGCGCTCCTCGAATCACCTCTAACTGCGGCCTATGACGATTCGGCGCCAGACGTCTGGCGGATTCGGCGCCAGACGTCTCGCCTCAAGACCTTTCGCGCCGATCGATAGTCGTTGTAAACGTACAGTCCTCTGGCGTGCTTTTGATTCTATGTGATTAGACCGTAGTCATCTCCATCAACTGCGACATCCAGCCTGGCTGAGAATCTCTTCGTTAGCACAATGTAAATTTCGGAGATTCATCATCAGATGTTCACTATTTTTATATTAATACCTCCCAAAAGAGAACAGAAAAACAAAACAAAAACACAAACCGTCTGTCAAATCTGATGTGAAATTGCCCAATTATTTCATTAAATTTAAAATTGTTTAAAGTTTAAAGTGAGCCTTTCATAGAAGAACAACGAGCTGATGTACAAAGCAACTTTGCTTATGTGGTATAGTAGGGAGTGATCAATTATAACATCGAAACCGCGGTGTTATGTATCCATTAGAAGCTCTTCGTGAGCTCTGAGCTAGGAATGTCATACCCGTCGGTATGGAAGCTAATTTATGGGTACCCTCAAGGTTCAGAAGGGTCTCGAAATCTATTAGGAACAACTTGCTGCCGGTCATCCACCACCAGTAAAGTTCAAGAAATATCGGGATTCGGACGAGAGAATACAATCAGTTGTGATTGACTATTATAACAGAGATAGTCTTAATACTTTCGTGGGATGGCGAACAATTACGAAAGGGCTCGATGATGTTTTATACTGTATATAAATTTTGCTATGTAAACAAAGTTATATTACACATCAGCTCGTCGTTCTTCAATGAAAATTTGACTTTAAACTTTAAACAAATTTCAATTTAGTGAAATAATTGGGCAATTTCGCATCTAATTTGACAGACACTTTGTATTTTTTGTTTACAGGAGATATTAATATATAAATAATGAACATCTGATGATGAACGAAATCTTAGAACCTTCGAAATTCATTAGTTTGACGTCACATTGTGCTAACGAAGTTCTTCTCATGGATATATAATTTTCTAGGTTGGATACTAAAGTTGATGGAGATGACCACGGTCTAATCATATAGGATCACACAGGACCATACGTACAAAACGACTATCGATCGGCGAGAGATATCTCGCGCCAAATCGGCGGCCCAGTCCGCCTCTATCCGAGCCTCTCAAATATTTGTTGCCATGTTTAGATGGAAGCGTGCTAATTATGCGCAAATCTCTTCCACGAGGTGCATGACTTTCATCCGCAGTCAAATATCGGACGAGCCGTTTTTGCATTTTAATTGGAGGAAAGAGGCTATCGACTGTTCTAGATTTGACGAGAAACCTAACTGCGTGTTCAGTGACGTTCAAAGGCCATCTTTCCCAGGGTCATTCCGGGGACAGAAGGTTGAACGTGAGAGTTGCGCGTGTCAATGTCTGGTGTCTGGCTATCAATGACAGGAGACAGGTGATTAATCATTCCTGGCGCTGCGGTGATAAATGACGGTCATCGCGTCCATCAGATTATTCCGTCGAAGAAAGATACGTAAATAATGTCTTCCGATTGGTTACAGCAGCCAGAGGGAAACACTCGTGTGGTCCGCGGTCATTTTTGGTAAGGTTTTGAACAGAGCCCCTTTTATATGCTTACCCAGGTTCCGTTTTATTGCTTTGAACGGGTCCATCATTGCACCTAACCGCATCATGGTTCATTAACAGGGGCCAAGCGCTGATGACACAGAAGAGGGAGGCGGTAAAATACTTTTGAAAGAACTCCTCTGCACGTGACTCGACTGATTCTGCACTTCATTCGGCTAATAACGAAACCTGTGATCTGCTGTTGCCATAATCGGGGTGCAGTCATGGTTGAAGGCGCTAGGTTTGATGTCCAAGATTCAGTCGTACTGGTACTGGGATCAATATAATCAGGAAATTTTGGTTTTCAAAATATAGTTGCACTTCGGTCATTGAGATTCGAGGTTCCTAATGGCGTCAATGTTTTGTCCTGTCCCGTGCTACCTAACTTATTTGCACATCACAGTTGTCACCTGAGCTTTAATCATTGCTCTAACCTCAGAACGGAAAATGAGATTGACTCATTTGGAATTCAAAGGTAACCTAGCGGCTTTTCATATTTTCATATTCATGGTCATTTTGACCGGTTCGTTAACGATTCGACTTTCTCGTGCATATCGTCGACGTCAGCAAGTCGTTCGTCCTTCGATGTCGGCACGGCACGGTGTTTCATGCTCAGCAGGTGGCAGTCTGCGACCTCTCACTGTCGCATGTCAGGGGCAACTGCCGGACGGCGATGGTGGACTGACTCTTGCAGCGATTTTCGAGAACATTCCACATGCATGACTGGAGCATGTTCAAATTTCCAGCCGTCTCCAGAATCCGGCTCTTCTCGTCGTTGCCACAGGTCTCTGTTGTTACCAACGGTGAACGTGGCGTGAACACATCGCTCTCTTGGCCACTGCTGTCCATCGGTCATCCGTCGTTTCTCTGATGACGGTGGCGGTGCCAGCGACATTGATTGGAGGGTCTGCAGTCGATGCGCAGTGAATCCAAGCAGCGGATTTGGCGATCAGAATACATCACTGATTTGCGTTCACTGTAACCGCGCTGTTTTCCGCCCGAGCTATCCGTGGTGTTGCGTCAATCTGCTTCCTGGATACCTTAATGCGAGCATCGTGTTTTTCAGGAGCTTCACGGATTCACGGACCCTGATCTCATGGCGTCGATGGCTAGGTACGATATGGATACGGCTCTTGCTTTACACATTTGCTTTTCGAACGGTTTCATCACATCTGAGAACGAGATTCCAATACTTGTGCCGGAATTGAGCGACTACAGGGGTTTCACTTTCTCTGATTATCACGCTGAGTAGACAGATATAAAGTAAGCCAAGGCGAACTGCAGTCCGATGAGGCTATCGCATCCGACAGCTTGGCAGTTCCTCTCGATCATCCTGGAATGACCAATCCTGAGCATCATGAAACCACCATTTTTCGCTGGTCAACGACTCGCTACCCGTTTTTTGGCCAGTTGCACCGAAGCAACGTTAGATAATCTTCTTGCTCAGAGGATTTCGTGACTTGGATAAACGTCGTCCCTTCTCTGAATCTGAACCGACACCCCCGGCGTTTGAACTCAACCACTTTGCTAATGCTCAACCTCTACCAATGATACCCACCTAATAAACTGATTTCAGCTAGGGCAGTCGTTGGCCGGCATTTTGCCCCATTGAAATATAATCCATAGGTGTTTCAATGGTTTTGCTGTCTTCTTGATCATGTACTGTTCATAATTTTGTTGAGCCTCGGAAATGATTCGAACTGCTCATTAAATATTAAGCATATAGCAGATTAATTATGTTAGAATGAATATTGTTTAGAACATCGAGATGGGAAAACTTCACATTTACGTTTTATTCACAAAACTCTCATACTATCAGATCAAGGTTGGTTCTTCTCCGCAGCAACACTAACATGTATGTAATGCTAATCAAATCGACACTACATGATTCATGGTGCTGTGTTTTTCGTAGGTCTAAGCGATTGGTTGTGCTTCTCGGTTCATGTGCTGCTGACATGCAGTATATGGTTCCAACTGATGCCGTTCAGTGCGCGAACAGATAATGTTTCTTTGAGTTGGTGAGAGAGGAATTACTCTTTTGCCCAATACTTTTAATTTCTCGAAGTAATGAGTGCTGTAATAGCAGGAGGTTTCTGATATTCAGCTTCATACAAAAATGTTTCCTGAACTTACTCTTCTGCATATGAATTTCATCAGTGCAGAAGTCAACGTTTTGGTCATGCTAGACCACTGGTCACTGCAACAATGAATAAGCGAAGTAGACGGTGGCAGTCAGATCGTCGTTGAAACTCACGCGTGCAGTCATCGACAGCTGACATTAACCAACGGTCGTTCAGATTTCGGTCTTCGTTTGACCTAACTGGACACATACGGTCGGTAGTCACTGAGCACAACCTCAGCATACAACTCTGAGATACAGCCAGATGAATCTCGCATCATCTTATCCGCTAGAGTCACATCGCGCCCATTAAGAACAGTGCTTCAAGAACTAGTACTCATTTGCTGCAGTTAATATCAAAGCATATTCATAAGACGCAGTGTCCGAGTACGCCGGGTATACGATCATATTTTGGAATTCATGTTGTGCCATATAAGGAAACCTACCTCCTGAAACATCGTTCGTAATGAGGTTCACGTGACTCGAGTCAACAATGTATTGCGAGATGCATCTTGCACTGCGGTTGCTCAAATACCCCACTTTAATGAAGCCCCTAGGCGACTATGTGCAAATCAGCAATACGATACGCCTTGAAATCTGGCCTCGAGGGCGTTACGCCTTATCTGACGTACTCCAGCATACAAACAAGTTTCAGTGTAAATCGGAATGAAAGAAACTGCATAATCATTTTCATAATATGTGCAAAACGCGAGACTATGATGACAGAAACATATGCGGATCCAACTTTGAAAATGGGTCTGTCAGTGGCAAATTTCGTTAAGCATTTCATGCGTATATCGTTATAAAAGGAAAATGAAATTGCATAATTCTACCGAGCGTTGCAACTGAATGACAGGTCATCGTGCAAGACAGAGTGTGGCTCACTTCTTGACAGTTCGGTCTGTGTCCACGGTTTGACGGACAGAGGTTAAAATGCGTTTTCGTATGACAGGATGATGGCATCAAAGCTGTTGTTTTAATAATAAAGCTATCATAATCGTGTTTCATAGCTAACCCGAGACGCCTCTCCGAATGCTAGTTGTTTCTGTTGTTTCCCGGAAGTCACTGAGTTTTTCCAACGCGTCAGATCTAGTTATTAACAGGATCATCATTTGGACTCATTTATAAAACCAGCGGCAAACATCAATGGCGCAAACGGTTATATTCTGTGTCACTGTATTCTCACCGTGCAGGTTGTGACACTGAAAAAAAGCTTTAGCTGCGATTTTGATGTGCGTGAAGCTCGGCCTATCACAGCTTTTTACGCATTTACAGAGCAACAGTGACTTGCATGCGAAATGCCCATGAATGCGGTTAATTTTTTGAATGATATATGAAAGCCATTACGAAATTCGCTTCTATCCGATCTGGATATTTGGGTTTAGAAAGAAAGTCAAACTTGATGTACGTGCCTGTCTCCGTACATGTGACTTAGTCATACAGGGGGCCTATGCTATGGTGCGTTTAACTCAAAATGCCTCCGTTAGCCTTCGGCCAAGGGCAACAGTACTTGCTGCCGTCATCCGCAACTTCCTTCTACTCGGGCAGCAAGCCGATTGCCAACCAACAGCTTTAAAGCCAATGATCACATGATCGCTTTCAAAAAATGGCCGAGGGCGGTGTCTGCCGTTAAGTCCGGCATTGGTCGACACTAGAAAAGAATTATAATTTTAAGTTAAATTTCATTCTACCTAAAACCGAAAAATACTTTTCAGGTCCAGCATATCTGGTCGAGGCATATGGTAGACTTGGACCTGTTCCTCTAAAAAAAGTAACACAACGGCAAATACCACTAATACCTTTGCTTTCGCATACTTCAAAAATAGTATCTGGCATAATTACCATTATAAGCCTTTTAAACAAACATCTGGATGAATACTTCTGCAATATTTTGCTGAGAAGTACTGTCTCCTGCATGTCTAGTCCAAGTGGCTCAGGTACTTTCCCGCGTGTGATCGAAGTGCAGACCGTCTGATTGGCCAATTTCTGTCCCTACTGCACACTAATATCTCTGCTCCGGCAATGATACGATCTTCTAGCTAAATATTCGGTTCATTGCCATTTCATAGCGTCGTTATTTACAAGGCTATCGCAGATCATTATTTCTACATCTATGAGTCATGAGTTCGTTAATTTACTTCTTTCTTCGTTACCTGTGTATATCCTCTGCTTTTATTTCCATGCTTATTTACTGGTTTCAAGCTTTCTTGAAGTTCACCAGGAAGATGTTCTATCGCTTTTGCTATTTGACAATTTTCTCGACCTTCATCTCTGAATCGGTAGTGATCCTGACAAAGACGAAGGTTTAATTTCAGAGAGAAGGCGCAGCTCAAGATGTTCATCTAAATATCTTGCTGCCATAGACCACTGAGATGATATTGTGTTGGTGAGAAGCATTAAAGCGGGCTCAATCGTCTGACGGCTTTTGTATGTAAGACAGCTGTGAAAGCCGGTCTCTTCTTTAAAGTCCAAAAATCAAAATTTATGAGGAAATGGTTCCTTACAGCTGATTACAAGCGGAACATGTGACAGGGAGGTGATGCACTTGAGGAGATTCACCAGTTTAAATGTGTCGGCTCTATCATCTCTAGCAATGGCATGGTCCAGCCACGACTAAATAGGAGGAACCTGACCTCGAGTACTTGTAGAAATATGTCAAACGTTTGGATTGAGAAGGCAGTATCTCTTTCCACAAAACTCCGCCTGTACCTTGTCTTTGTCAGGGTGTGTTATAGTACGGCATGGAGACAGGAACGACGGTTAAACTGCCTGCAGCCACCTTGACATCGACGCACAATGAGGGTTAAATGGTAGGACCACGTTGAATATGACTTCGTTCTCTTCCTGACACAGGTTACCTCAACAGATGGAGGTCAGGAAAACGAGATTAGCCCTGTTAGACTAACTGAATGAGCAGAAACAATTTACTCCAACCCGGGTGCTTGTGGTGTAGGAGCTCAAACGCGACAGAGTTCGGCCGGTAGGCCAGCAAGCAACCTGGAGAAATAAGGAAAAGGCATATCTGCGTTTGGAGCGGAATATCTTATGCTACGATGCAGTAACCTGTGTCTTATAGCAGAAAAAATGTATATTATTTTTGAACAGTTTTCATGCTAAGGATATATGGATATATGTTTCGTGTGCATACAAGGCTGAAGAGTTTTCGTTTCGGATATAATGGCAGTTTCCACATGGAATTATTTGAGTCATTCAAGTGCTTCATGTCAATTCTACGCTTCTGTTAGTCAGCGGTCTATTCAACAGTCAAGTAGTATGCTCCTGCGTGGCTTCAAAACAGTCATACGCCGAACCTCGGTGCTGTTCTTCTTGAGACAAAGAGAATCATCAACGCTTCACGACATTATACTACCTTAATTATAGTTACCGGTACTGAAACCATGCTTTCGCTGAAGCGCGGAGTTTACTTACGAGGGAATCACAAAATTCAGGATGAGTCAAGCCATCCAGTCCATCAAAAATGAAGCACCCCATCGCTCAGACTCAAATCTGAGGAAACCATTCTGGCAAGAGGCCTACAACCTAACTTCCTGTGACACCAGCGACGAGCGGAGAGTAACCTGACAGAAATCCAATATTCCACACAAGCGCTTAATTGATGATTCGACCCGAAGGCCACACCACAACGCTTAGACTGACCTTGCAAAGACAGACCTTCACAGACTCCACACGACCTATTTC